ATCTCGAAAGAGTATATAAAAATGAACAACTTTTACTGCTTTTTGCAAATCCGATCAAGGAGTGTACACACATATATACTCACACTGGTTAAAGTGTTATCTAACAGTGAACGACTACTCTGTTAAGTGTATATATGTGGATGTGGTATAAGCAAGGACAATTTTCCAATCAGAAAAACCTTAGTTTGTATCTTGAGTCCACACCATTATTAAACTGCTGGAATAAGTTGAACATCATTGAACTTTTAAACAATTACAAGATTACCCTGAGTTTTCTTGTTGATCCTTCAGCCTTGCACCTTTGTCTAGAATTTGCACATCTTAAGTTATTTTCTGTTTGGGTATTCAGGAAAGAATGAAAACTAGCATTTCTATAAGAATTCTTCCGTTGAACATTCACACGAGGATCTAGAATACTGAAAAATGAAAAGAAATGGATGATAACTGTATCTCAAGACTAAATACAAAACCCCATTCTCCCCCTTTAACTTCAACGTCTCTCTTGACCTTCTTTGTTAGGGATAATAGGTCATTCTTGAACTATTGTCATTTTGAACTGTTTTCTTCTTTTCAAATTACTGTTTTCAGTTCCACAATGTCTGTTTTCCACTGACAACTCCTCGACACTGTCAGGAGACAATAATCTACAGTACTTTAATGTTAGAACTGCATCAAGTTACAAATGGAAAATTGGTACAAAATGAGAAGGAACATCAGGGGAGGGACATCAGCTGTACTGAAATTTGGAATTAGACTCTTTATCCATTGGTCACCTAGTCTCAACTCAGTAGCTTGCATTTTATTTCATTGAGAAATATCTGATTGGACAAAGAGCATCACTGTGTGTTTTATTGCCTAAAACAATTGCTGATCCCTTAGATTCTATGGAAGTGGAAGATCTATCGTAATTCCCAAAACATCATAAATCTCCCATTCAGTATCAAAAAAATGAGGCCAGTGATGCCTATATAAAAAAAAGGGGTTCTGTAAAGCTCAAAGGAGGTCATGTACATGAATGCATTCTGTCCAGTGTATACATAGTGAAACTGTCAGACCATGCTCTGTATTCTCTAGCTCTTGGATTCTCCCAGAACAGCACCTGAACACCTAAACAGCACCAAATGATAATGTCTTCTGTAGCCTGATCAGCCCAATAGCAAAATAATAAAGCCATAAATGAGAGTCATTTTTGTTATTTTACATTTTCTTGTACTTACATTAAGAAATAAAAATAAAAAAGTGATATTAATTTAAAAACATATTTAAATAAGGTGGCATTTCCCAAACCATAATTTTAACAAATAATTAATCTTAAAATTATTAGTGATATATTTTACATTTTAAATGTTATAGCAAGTCTTTGAGATCTAGCATGTATTTTACACTTAAAGTATATCCCAATATTTGAAGTGTTAAGTACTTAATATGGCTCATGGACATTTTGGACAGTGTAGGGTTAAACATGTACTTTGTATTTTCAGATTTTCTGAATGCAGCACACGAATGTGTTCTATCTCTAAATTTAGATGTTCAATTTCTTAGAAGAATTCTGTAATAAATAACTCAATAGGTTGAAGATGGCTATAGATATTTAATTTTTTAAAAGTTCCCACTTTGATCACTGGGCAAACAGAAAAATAAAGCACATCTTCTTTTATGAATTTCTAAGAATCCAATAAATATCCACTTTTCTCCAGGTAATACATCATGACCAGTGTTCTTCAAACTTTCCTAATATTGGAAAGCATCAAAAACCTTATATTTATGACAAAAACAGCCAAGATAATCCTCCTCAGCATTTACGCACACACACACACGTACACACCATCGGTTTTGTGTGTGACACTTCTCTAATCCCTCCCTCAGTGAAAACTATAATTTATTGTTTTTGATTTTATTCTAAAAGTTCCATGAACCAAGTAAATAAAAAACTCTTCCAGATAAATCATATATTTTTCCAATTTCAAAAAGGGATTGGTGCCATTTTATGAATATTGACCAAAATTCATCTATGGGCAAACCAGAATGAGAAAGAATTAACTACTAGAAATCTAGTATCAGGAAATGGGTTTTCTTGTAGCCTTTTGTAGTTCAATGAACACAGTCTTCACCATACCAGGATTTAAGAAAGTCTAGGAGCAAAGTTATTTTCCTATGAATATCACTAATGAGTACATCAATTTTCATTTACCCTCCACATACTTTTGTTTAGCAATTACAAATTCCACGCTGGAGACCAGGACGCTGGCCTGAGTTCTCTGTGTAACATCCTCACAAGGTTGTGACACATATACTTTGAATTTAATATAAGCAAAGCTAGCTCATCTTCTTCATCTTCCAATCTTCCTGTTCCTAAAAGAATTTTAAAAATCTTCCCCTTTCTGCATTTCCCTCTGTTTGATAATGGTGGTTCCCCCAACCCAAAGAAACATTTTTTCCCTTTAACCCTTAAGTCTTGCGGCTCTTTACCTTCTATATCGTTCTCGTAATTCAACACATCTCCCCATTCCTGAAGCAGTTATTTCATTCGTGCCTTATGAAATAGAGATTTGGGACTGTTGGCAGGGTCTCCTAAATTAGCTGGGTGCTTAGATGAGATCTTTACAATGAAATGCCGAATGCATCGCCCTAGGGTTTTTCTTCTGATCATGGCTTTCCTCCGTCAAATCCGGTCCTTGATGTTCCGACGGAGCAAATAACAAATTACCATGAAGCGTTTTAGACAGGAAAAAAAAACTGAATCCCAATATTGTGTCTCAGGTTAAGATATCTGGAGGAAATTAAAAGGGCTGAAAACTGGGACATGATTGATTCCTTGCCAAGCGTTAATAGGAGACCCTAACCAGTTTTAAAGCCTCAATGGAAAATTTCTGTGGTTATTAACGTGACACGTTTCCAATCTTTTGCCTTCTATTTCTAGTTCTGTACTTTAAAGATTCAGTATAATTCTTTGATTCCTAAAGGTCTCCTGCCCAAAATACCCCTTATCACTCACTGAACACACTTACCACCACTTATTGTCAAATAAGTATAAAACTGACATTTTCAGGCAAGGAGGTGTGGCTCAGTGGTAGAGCTATACTTTGCGTGTGTGAGACTCCGCGTTCAACCCCCGGCTCCTCCAAGTTTTTAGTAGGTGTGTTCTTTTTCTTCTGACTGACCCCCTTTCAAACTCCCACTTTTTTCTGTTCTATCTCTGCACATAGAGAAAATAAAAACATAACCCAATGGACTCCCTTGAATTCTCTTACCTTTTGCTCTGACACTCGACACCACCTAAGGCGACTGCGAGAGCCGAAGGGAGACAAAAAGGAAGAAGGAGAAAGAACCAGGTCCTAACGGCATCTCTTGAATGCGAACAAAAGCGGACATGGTAGCAGGCAGTTCACAAAATAGGTCGCTCCTATTTTGTACTGTTGTTAAAGAGACGGAAAGACGACGACGACGATGACAACAGAACAACGCCTCCCTATGTACATTTCCCTCGAATTATTTTTTTGGGTGGGGCTGAGCCTAGATGACATTTATCTAACGTACAATTGTTAAATAAATGAAAAGACGGTCATAAGAATATGAAGACCTTTGCCCTATAGAGACAACCCCAACTGACCTAGGGGGTCATGGACAATCGGGACAACCTGAGGGTCATAACTAGGTTGTTCTCAAGGTAAGCCTCAGCAGCCAGCTGTCTTTCTTTACTTCTCCACATCTAGTCTTTCACCAAGTCTTCCTTCTAAATGTATCTTGCTTCTGCCTGCCTCTCTCCTCTCCTCTGCCACTACTCTTTCCCAAGCCACCATCACCTCTCACTGGAGTACAGAAGCCTTCTAACTAGGTTTCCACTCTTCCCCAGTCCTTACCACAGTCCATTAGTCATTCTGTAGCCACAGTGATCGTCTTTGAACATAAATCAGATCTAGTCAGATTACAGGGGGAAAAAAAAAGTAGGCACTCAGGAGAGTGACTGGCTTCAGAAATCTGCTTGGCTGCTGACTGGTAGTGTGCCCTGGGATCAATTATTTGTTTCAGGATGCTTTTTTTTTTGAGGGAGGTAATGTCAATCCATGTATTTTCTATTATCCACTTGTTCTCTCCAGGCACTTATGAAAACACTGAGTGGTATGTTAGTCAGAAAGGACACTGAACAAGAGACTAAGGGGCAGAAGGATGACTGAGAATTTAGGAGTGTAGTGAGCAGACTCCAAATTCTAGGTCCAAGTGCAAAGCAGTATTTCAGGAGACTTTGGGAGTTACACAAAAGAGCCCTTGATTTTTCTGTGGATGAAGTAATAATGGGCACCAGGAAATTTATTCTACCAAAACACCTGAGGTCCCATCAAGCTATTTGGATCTTTGAATGAGAAACCCAAGCTTGAAGTCTCCAGGCCCTATGACAAAGACTGCAACCATTTCTCTCCACCCTCAAGGTTAGGACTCTGGCTGCCTCTCCAGCCCTACCACTTTGGCCAATTCTCTTGTTTAGGATCAAGTAGTTTAAATCTATAATATGAGTGAATTGTAATTAAAGTGTCTTCTCAGGTTAAGTCAAGCTTGTGCTACTGACAGAGACTTCTTTGTGGCTTTCTCCTTGGAAGAAACCCTGCATCTACCCACCTTCTGTTCTCCCATTTGTACCCTCTGCTCCAAGCCTAAGCCATTGCATTTTTTGCCCTTAACTCTTATAAACCTTTTATTGGGCGGTGACGTTGGCTTTTCCCACTCTTTGTGCTTCCAAGAATCGGATGTGAATAATACAGTAGCCCACTGCAAGTGTGGCTGAAACTCTCCAAAAAGAAACGCAAATTTCAGAGGTTTGCTTCTGTGGGAGAAAGTCTAAGGCACTGAAGCTCACATAGTCTCCAACCCTTGACCGTGAGATCGAAGTCCTGACACCCGAAGCACTGAACTGTTTAAGGACAAGGTAACTGCACTTCTGAAAACCATTTAAGGTAAAAATACTTGATTACTGTCTTACTTTCTCTCTTTTTTCTGTCTTGTAGTACAAGCTCAGCACACTAAAAAACACTCACTCCGACCTACACCTGAAGTGCTGAAGCCCAGAGACAAGATGATCCCGTTTCCACAGGGATCGCTCTCCTACCGCAACCGCATGGGGATCCCAACTCTGCGGCTCCCCTCCGCGGCCAGGGAGGGCCCTGCACCCCCAACGCCCGAAAATAAGCTCGCCCCCAGGCGGCCTCCCAAGTCCCAGCGCCAGGAACCCCGGGGCGCTCTGACAACCGCGGCAGCCTCGGGCGCGACAGACGGCATCTTCCTGCGGTAAAGCGCTCTCAGCCGCCTTCCTGCACCGGGAGCCGGTCAGCTCGCTTCGCCCTCCCACCGAGGAAGCGCAGCGCCACCGATACCCGGATGCTGGCCGGGTCCGCGCACGCACGTCTTCTGCCCGCGCCGTGCCGTCGCCCACTTTCAGCTCAGCCTCCTCGGGTGCCGCGGCAGCCGCGCCGGCCACGTCTCCGCGTCCCTTTTCCTGGGCACTGCCTGCCCATTTTCTACTCCTCCTACTCGCTCCCTCCGGCTGTTAACTTATCCTAGTAGTTTAGCTCACTCATTTCCTCCCTGAATCAGAATCCAGCCACTTACCAAGCACTCACGCTTCTATTTTTGTATCTGCCCATGCTACTTTTTGTATGCTCCTGACAGCCTTTGTGGACAAAGGAAGTTGTAAGAAGGGAGAATGAAAATGAAAAACAAAACAAAACTTTCTTACCCACAGAAAAGTTGCAAAAATAATACAAAGAATTACCATGACCATACACACATTACCCAGATTTACCAATTTCAATTATTTTGCGACATTTGTTCCTCCTCTCTCTCAAACTGTAAGCACACATAGATTATTTTTTCTAACCAATTTCAGAACAACTTGCATACCTTTATATCTTATCTCTAATAATTCAGTATGTATTTCTTAAGGGAAGGGATACGGACCACATTCAAATTTCACCAATCATTCAAAAAATGTCCTTTAGAGCAACTTTTCCCCCAGTCCGGGATGTGGGCAGGATCTTAAGAGTTCATTTAGTGTTTTTGTTTGTCTAGTGTCCTTTAATCTGAAATGTTTCTTAACTTTTCTTTATTCAGGGCATTGACAGATTTTGAAGAATTCAGGCCCGCTGTTGAATAGAATGCCCTTCATTTTGGGTTTATCTGATGTTTCCTCATGATTAGATTGAGGTTATGCACTTTTGGCAAAAATATAAATAATGTTGTGTTCTCAGTGTATCACACAAGGTTTTTTCCTTAATTGGTGGTGTTAACTAAATGCAGTCTTCCCACATTCAGTTAGTTTATAATCTGTAGGGACATAATTGGGGCCATATAAATGTCCTATTGCTCATTTAAATTTTATCCATAGTTTTAGAATTGATTAAAGAATTTTTCCCTCAATCAGTCATTGCTATTATGTAGCACAATGGTGATATTATTCTTTAAATCTAGTCTCCCACGTTTATTTTTCATTCTTTTTAAAATTGAGATACAATTGACATGTAACACTATATAGAGTTTCAGGTGTACAACATAATGATGTTATTTGTCTATATTACAAAGTGATCACCAAAATAAACCTAGTAAACACCCATCACCACACAGTTACATATTTTTTCTTGTGATGAGAACTTTTAACCATACAGTATTACTAACTATAGTCACCATGCTGTCCCATACATCTCTAGGGCTTATTTTCTTCCACATTTATTCATTAGTATATTACTGTTAAAAAGAAACCAAAACAAAGGCTACAGTTTGAATATACCCCTCTGCCAAACATTCAATACCATAACCAAATTTACCACAACCAATCACATAACCAAAACTTAAAACTGTCCTGATTTCTCCAAAATGCTGACTCTGAACTTAAAGTTTAAGATTTCTTCATGTCAGTGTGACTGTATAGCTAGCTTCCTAGTCAATCAGCTACAAACAAGCTTATGCAGTAATACTACCATAAATGAAATGTCAGTTTCTAGTCATAACAGAAAAAAAATGTACTTCCTCATTTATGCTTTACAAACCGAGCTGTTACAGCTGAGAGTCAAGCTTCTATGACTTCTGATTTTGAAATCTCCCTGCTCATGAAGAATTTCTTACTCAATAAAATATTCATATCAAGTAAAGCTCTCTGAATTATCTTTTGATTCTGTAAAGTAACAAGTTCTGTCTTATTTATTTACTTACTTGCAATAGTTATGAGATAAAATAATCTTATTTTATTCAGTGGGTTAAATCCTTTTTCTTTATTAATTTGTCCTATACTCAATATGTCCTAGATTTTGCTAGGGTGAGCCCCTTTGGGCTGGCTCATGCATCTTTTTAAGACAAGTCCACATCTTTTTATTGTTTAAATCATTTCCTAACCTTTTAGCACAGCAAGCTATTCCAGACTCATCTTGTACTTTCTCTAGCTCAGCCCTGGAACCAGTGATTCCTCCAAAAACATTTGATTTCTTTTAGTAAAGAATGGTGCTAAGAAATCAAGACACAAGACTAAGTTTGCTAATTTTAGCTGGGATGCCACTGCTTCCAGGGAAAAAACAGCAGAAGTGACAATTTCATACTGTTTAATCATGAATTTATGCTGGCACTTCTGATAGTTTCAAGGTGCTCTGATGCTGTCAGTCCAATCATCCATGTGGTAGGCATAAAATGTAAAAAAAAAATTTGTTCAACACATCATTTTAGTTATGCTGAAAATCAAGAGGAACCAAATGATTTAAATGACAGTCTGTCCCTTAAATTGGTAAGAGGCTGACAGAGTGAATGTACACACCACCAACAATCGAATTCAGAAGCTGGTACCTGTTTAACGAGTTTGAATCTGTCTGAAACCGAAAGAGTTTTAGAGGATAAATAATAGCATGACTTGGCAATTGCCGCACTGGAATCTGAGCTCTTTGTCAATTCACTCAGATTTTCATGGAAAACAAGAATATCAGGTTCAAATAATGGCCACATTTCTCCCTTGCTCCAATTTTCATACTTCTTATTTCTTTCTTTTGTTTCACTGTTGTTAATCCTTGGGTAATTATAGGGAAAGAAGAGGTCATCTTTATCAAAGAAATAAGTTGCTTTCTTGCTTTCTTGCCTATTTCTTCTCTAGTCCTAAAAAGTTGAGAAGTGGATGTAATGGTCAAGTTCAAGCTGAGGAGGCAGGAGCGACTCAGGTTGGTGGGCTTTTGTGTCAAAGATGTACTGCTCTGTCCTGTCTTTTTCTCATTCACTGGGTATGGATTCTGAACCAATAGAAGCAATTGGAGGACTGAGCAACTTCTTTGTTCTATTTGTGCTGAACTCACACTCCGGTTGCTCCTATGACTCCCTCTATATTTACTCCCAAGAAGGTCACCAGCAGCTCTGATAAAAGCTCAGTGTTCTAATTTCAGAGTTCCTCTTTGTTGTGTAATCCACTGCATGTGAAGGCAAATATGTGGCCTTCTCGTGTTGCCCTGTGGGAAAAGTTGGGCATAAGGGGCCAACACAAAATATTGTGGGGTTTCTGCTTTTTGCTGTAAGTAATATACTATCTATGGATCTTTTATTCTTCTGTTCTTATATAGAACTGTGACAGGTGAACCTGTTAGCTTTCTAGTAGGAAAGCTTTTGGACTTAACAGGGAAAGGAGCAATTCCTAAAGTATAAATGAGCCATCTTTTCCAAATGCACAAGTGAGGCCAACAATGACTATGTAACATAGTGTTGAAAAGGTCAAATGAGATATACATATCAATGCATTTGGTAAACTCAAGGGCATAACACAAAAGTTAATTACTGGCAAATCATGACCACAAATTCATCCAAAAATAGCATCTAATCACATACCATCTCTCTCATATTCTAGAAGGGTTAAGCATACATGTGACATATCGTTAGAATTTCTGAATTAAGTATAATGTGCATGAGTGTGTTCTGTATCTTGAAAAACCATGCTTGAATCCCTAAAAATATTCTGTACTGAAAAACTGTCTAACATCTTCTACACAAGTGAATGTTCCAAATGGTGCTGTAGGTTTATAGACTGGCTATTATCACAGATAATTAATAAACAATTCCAATGGTGTTTATAAGGCAAGCAGAAGAACAAAAACTCCTTAATATGAATCCACGAATCCAACAGATATCCACATTCAGCTAGGTGGATTGCAAAGAAATGTCCCCTGGTAACTTACAATTAACTTTGTGATTGTGTTTTTATAAGATCAAAGAGCTAAGTACATTTTCCTCCTTCCACCAGCATTTTTATACATGCACATACACAAACTCATTCATCAGAGCTTGAAGATCTTTGTGTTTGATACTTTTCTAGTCTCTTCTCCAGTGAAGCCCATCCCTTCTCTCTTTCTTATTATCCTATTCTACCAGTCCTATAAGTCAACTGAGAAAAATTCTGCCAGGCTAATCAGTTTCTGTCAGTTACAAATACTATTTTGTAGACTCAATGGTATTTTTGCAAAAATAGTAAGAGCTCACTGTTAGGCAAAGTAGGATGAGAAAAGGAAAACAGCCACTAGAAATGTGGTACCATAAATGGAACTTCTCTTATTTTTCAGGAGCGTAAGATTAACCAGTATAGACACCAGGGCTCAAAAACAGTCTAGCCATGAGCTCATTTATTTATAGTATCATTAATGAATTCCTAACCCCAAAATTTCATTTCTGGTAGTATATCTGAAGGAAATGAAAACATGATGTTGAAGAGATGGCTGCACACCCATGTTCAAGCAACATTATTTACAATACCCAAGGCATGGGAACAGCTTGTATCCTTAGATGGCTGAGTGGACAAAAAAGTTGTGGTGTATGTATGTATATTAAAATACTAATCAACAATAAGAAAAGAAGGAAATCTTGTAATTTGTGATGACATGGATGGACCTTGAGGACAATATGCTAAGTGAGGTAAGTCAGAGAAACACAGATTCCACATGATCACACTTGAACGTGGAATCTAAATAACAACAAAAACTAACAGAAATAAGGAACAGATCTGTGACTACCAGAGGTGGGGAGTGGATGTGGAGGGATTGGATGAAGGTGGTCAAAAGGTACAAATTTCCAGTTATAAAATAAATAAGTACTGATGATGTAATGTACAATATGTTGACTATAGTTAACACTGCTGTGTGGTATATTTGACAGCTGTTAAGAGAATAACTCCCAAGAGTTCTCATCACAAGAAGAAAGAACATGTAAAAAAAATTTTCTTTTCTTGTATCTATATGAGATGATGGATGTTAACTATTATTGTGGTAATAATTTTATAATATATGTAAACCAAGTCATTATGCTGTACACCTTAAACTTATACAGTATGATATGTCAATTATATCTCAATAAAACTGGAAAACAAAACAAAACTTGTTGAGTTTGTTTATGGCTCAAGATACATTTTATCTTGTTATATGTTCTGGTGAACTTGAAAAAAATGTGTATTCTGCTCTTGTTGGGAAAATGTTCTGTGTTGATTGGATTCTGTTGGCTAATGGTATTTTTGAGTTCTTCTATATCCTTGATCATTTTCTGTTTAGATGTCCTATTAATTATTCTGAGAGAGGTTTTGAAATTTTAAACTACAATTGTGGGTTTGTCTATTTTTCCTTTCAGTTCTATTAATTTTTTTCTTCACATATTTTGTACTCTTGCTCGGTGCATATGTATTTGGGATTGCTATGCCATCTTAGTGGATGGACACTTATTGTCATTATATGATATAAATCATTATATGATTTCTGTTTCTGTTAATTTTCTTTGTTCTGAAGTTTATCTGAAATTGATATAGCTACTCCTTTCTTTATGTTAATGTTTGCTTGATATGTTTTTTCCATTCTCTTGATTTCAACCTGCTAATGGAGTTATATTTGAAGTGCGTTTCTTGCAGACAACATAGAGTTGGGTCATATTTTCTAATCCACCCTGTCAATATCTTTTAGTTGATGTATGTGGGCTATTTACATTTAATATAATTATTGATAAGTTAGGGCTTAAATCTGTATTTTATTTTTTGTTTTCTGCTTGTTCTCTATTATTTTCTTCTTGACTACTTCTTCCTGAACTACTTGTATATTTATTAGTTTCATATTCTTTTAGCTATAGCTTTAAACAAAAAACTGTATCTCTTTGTATAGATGTTTTAGTAGTTGCTCTAGGAATTACATTATATATTTAACTTAACAGTGTATTGCCAATACCATTTTACAAGTTCAAGTGAAGTATAACCAGTTCAAGTGAAGTTGCTGTTATCCCCCTTTTTACCACTGTACCATTCTCATTTGTAATATAATTGTCTTAACCATTTCTTTTATATACATTTAGAAACATGACAGTGTTATTCTTTTGGCTTCAACTGTCAAGCTTAATTTAGAAAGCTCAAAAGAGGGAATATTTATTGTATGTACCATATTTTTTCTAACAATATTCCTTCTTCCTTTCTGATGTTCAAGATTCCTTCTTTTATCATTTCTTTTCTTTTCTTTATTTATTTTTTACAAATAATTTTTTACAAATATATTATTAATATACACTCACATGAGCAATATTGTGGTTACTAGAATCCCCCCATTATCAAGTCCCCACATATACCCCATTACAGTCACTGTCAGCAAAGTAAGATGCTATAGAGTCACTATTGTCTTCTCTGTGCCATACTGCCTTCCCCGTGCCCTCCCCCCCATGTTTTGTGTGCTAATCATAATGCCCCTTATTCCCTTCTCCCTCCCTTCCCACACACCCTCCCCAGTCCCTTTCCTTTTGGTAACTGTTAGTCCGTTCTTGGGTTCTGTGACTCTGCTGCTGTTTTGTTCCTTCAGTTTTTGCTTTGTTCTTATGTTCCACAGATGAGTGAAATCATTTGGTACTTGTCTTTCTCCGCCTGGCTTATTTCACCAGCTAGAGCATAATACCCTCTAGCTCCATCCATGTTGTTGGAAATGGTAGAATTTGTTTTCTTCTTATGGCTGAATAATTCCACTGTGTATATGTACCCCATCTTATTTATCTATTCATCTACTGATGGATACTTAGGTTGCTTCCATTTCTTGGCTATTGTAAATAGTGCTGCCATAAACATAGGGGTGCATATGTCTTTTTGAAACTAGGATCCTGCATTCTTAGGGTAAATTCC